GCGGGGGCGGGGAACGTAAAACCCGCCCCGCCCCGCCCCATTGCCATGCCTATTTGTTCTCAAATTATCTATTTCGTTAGTTAGTTTTGGATTATCCTTAAATGTTAGGTTAAGAATTTTTAAAGTTGTTATATATTTTTTTTGTTTTTTTTTTATAAGGACTCATGTATTTACTACTTGCTATTAATATGATAAGTTTAAGAAAGAATACATTAGCCTCTAGCAAAGTTGGTTACTAAAATTTAAAGGTATCCTTGATAATAAACCCGTTACTAAAAACGATGTTTTGTTTTACTTTCTTAAAAAGTTGTGTATCCATCTCCAAATTCGTCAAAGATAAATTTAAGATTTTACTCAATTTCATTTTATTTATTTTTTGCATAAAGTCCTTATTGAATTCATGAACAAAGCCAGAAAAATTGTCTCTCATATCACACAATACATGCCCAAAAATCAAAATATCTCTCCCATTACTTATATTAATTTTGTTTGCTAACCATTTTGCCTTATGCTTTTCAATGAACCCATGTCATCACAGCAGAAGGATTATGTTTGGTTGCAAAAGTGTCACACAAGTAGGTCTTCACAATGCATAGAAAAAAACCCAAATTTTGTGTAAGTTAAAAATGAGAAAAGTAAATAAAGACAATTCTCTTTTTATAAATGGAATTTGTAAAATTGAGATAACTCAAACTCACTTTCTCTTTATCACATGATGGAACAATAGGGGTCCTGAAATTGACTTGTGCACCTTATATCACACATTGGGTATTTAGGACCACTCCAAAGCCAAGGGTCCAAGGGTTGTATGATTGTCTCTTCTTTTTTCTCTTCTTTCTTGTCTTCTTTTTTCTCTTCTGCTGAACAAACGCTCAAGAGTGCTGAACCAACGCTCAAGAGTTCTGCGTGCCCAAAACTCTTTCTAAGCAAAGAGCACAGTTTAACTGAATCCACCCCTTCTCCTGTTACCTCTATTTCATCCCTGCCCTCTCCTTTTAGGGTTGCACTATTCACTCCTACACATTTTGCACATCACTTATGTTCAGCTATGGTTTCCAACTTTAGAATAAAAAATATGGTGGAAATTAATTATCTTTTTGATTTTTATAATTTCATTAGATTCACCTTTCATAACTCATTTTAACTATTGTACATACAATTTAAGTTCTTATAAACGACAAAAATGTAAACTGAGACAAAATATATATATATATAAAGATTAGACTATAAAGATTAACAGGTAATTAAACATTTTTATTAATCATTCTTAAGGATCGATATTAATACTTTCCTTAATTTTAAAGTGACTTTTCTTACCTGAAAGTCCAACCGCAATCTTCATAGCTTTGGACCTTGATTTTTGATCATTCATGGACACCCGGATCACTACCTTTTGCTGCAAACATTTCAGAAACAGAGATGATTAAGTTATTTGATGAGAAAAACAAGATACAACTAGATTTTAGAATCTTTTAAATGAAACTTCTAAGCGGAGCCAAAGATTAGTACTTTACCTTTCCCATTAATTGAGCTAATTTAAGAGAAATTAAATCTCAATATATATGGGTTCCAAGAAGCCAACTTATTGGGAGAAGAGTAAAAAACAGAGGGTGTGAGAATGGTTTGTGGTTTAAGTAGTTGGACTAGTGCACAGAGAAGTACTTGTGCATTTTTGGTATTTATAGGCATTAGTAGTAAACAATGGCTTTGTGTAGAACCTGTCACGTGTAAGAATTAAGTTTGAGGAAACACTTATTTCATTCCAAATTTTGGAAGGAAGTTTCAACGATTTGACTTAATTTTATAAAATTGATTTATAAAATAAATATTATTTTTATAAGAAGAAAATTTCTTCTTGAATATATATATTTTATGTTTTTATTATTAGTTGATATGAAATTTTTAATACACTTTACATCGAAAATTAGACATCTCGAATATAAAATTAGTAAGAGCTCTAAAGTGAAAATTGTTTCATACTTAAATACATTATTATGACTATATCATTAGTTGATTGAGATCTTCAAGATACCCTTTCACATCAAAAACTAAATATTTTCAGGTGATTTGATAATAGTTGTTACGGTAGGCATAATAACAATTAAGAAACAATTGAGATAAGTTCTAATATCATTTAAGAAAGTAGATTATAAGTCTAATTCAATCTTATAAAATCAGATTATACAAGAGAGATTATTCGTCACTTATATATACTTGGTTAACCTTATCACTAACTAATTCCGACAATTTTAAAATAAGTTCATAAAAGTAATAATGTATATACCAAAATAATAATAAATATTTACATTTAAAGATTTATTTAATATTCTATAAATATATTTGACAACTTATTAATTTTAAACACTAATATTACATACTAAAACCGGGTGCTTAAACTACTAAGTAGGGGTGTAAGCATGTTGGGTTTGGCTAGATTTAGATGAATTCGTTATCGACTTGATCAAAATTCAGCAAGTTGAATTGAGTTGAATTTGTATATTTTTTTTTAAATCCAATCCAATTCAACTCGATCATAAATGAGTTTGGGCAATTAAGTTAATATAATTAAATTTATTTATTTATTATAAAAATTTAAATATTTCATAATAGATGTAAATTATTTGATTTTTTTATTACAATTATAATATTAGTAATCGATAAAACAAATAATGATACAAACTAAATTTTAAAATAAATTTATTGATTTGCTATATTATTATTAATTCAAACAATCAACATTAATACAAAATAAAAATTTAAAATAAATATTATATTATTATAATATTATTAATTTAAAAATATAATACTACTTATTATTGAATAAGAATGATAAAAAATATAATTACATTGATTTTATTTATTGTCGAATTGGATTAAGAGTGGAAAAAATACAAAACATACTATTCAATTTATATAGTGTCAAATTTTGATTGAATTGAATTAGATTTAATTTAAATATAATTTTTTCATTCAAATTCATTGAATTAATTTAAATCAATAAATTTATTCGTATTCATTGAATTGAATCAATTTAGATCGATTGAGTTATCAATAGTGGATTACACTCGTTCCGTTAAGTTTAATGTTTTGTTTTAGATGGAGGAAATTGCTTAGCATAATCGCACGCAAAGCGCTGCCGCAGCCATTAATATGTTCAAACCGCGTCATCATTATGGAAATTGGAAATGTTCTTTTAGACTTTACGAATTATCTAAAAAAATAATCTTGTCAAATAAAAATTATTTTATAAAATAATAAGTGAAATTAAGACTATCCTTAATATGCTCGTGATGACTTATTCTATCTTAATTAATTTTTTTTTCCTGGAATATCCACCCCCGATAGCATCTCAAAATGTGAGATAATTGACTTCAAGATTTAACGCGACTGCATACACAAGATAGGATTCAAACTCCTGACTTTGTTTAAGCATGGATCAATCTCTACCGCTAAACCACACCATTAAAATTCATCTCAATTAATTTATTGAGGTTTGATTCTACCATTTTATTAAATGAATCTTATATATTCCCACCAAGATCCGTAGTATGTGGTTAGTATCAAACAATATTATAAAGTTAAGTTTAAATAAATTACGTTATGTGGAATAAGGAAAATTTATTTATTATTTGAATCCTATTTTTCTTTCTCTTTTGTCGATAACTTTTATTAAAATGAATAAAAATATATACGGACACTCATCTACCTTTATAAATTAAATATGAATTTTTATATTGTATAAAAATATTTTTAGAATTTTTTTTGAGAAATATAGATTTTTTAGCTTTTTTTTATCGAATTCAATTTTTATTTATTATAATTTAAATTAAATATCGATATTTTAAAATAAATTATTAATAATTAAAAATATTTTTTTACAGTATAAATTATTTATTATATAATTTATTATAAATATAAAATATAATTTATATGTTTTAAAATATTTATTTACATTAATTTTAAATATAATTTATATATTCAAACATAATAATATTAATATAAATAATTTATTATAAATTTTAATTATATTATATATAATAAACATGTTTGTACATTAATATAAATATTAATATAAATAATTTAATTCTTCAACTTAAAGAAAGTTTTTATTTTCTCTAAGCATATGAAGTTTCACACATTTTTTTTCTCTTCAAAAATCGGTCGAAGTATTGATTAGGTAAAAGATTATCGCATTAAACTTGCTCTGATGCTGGGGTAAAATTGAAAATAGTGTCAAATTTTACAAGAAAATCAGTTGTAATTTTCAAAAGATTTTACTTACATAAAGGATTAACTTACTTTATTTAATAGTTTCTTACATCATTGAATTTTCTTAACTTGACAAATTAGCAGTAACAAATTTTAAACTTACTTTTGGTACAAACCATCTCAATGCATCACTATATTGTCAATAGGGTGGTTACCATTTCAATGCATCACTGTATTGTCATTTGTCAATAGAGGGTTGTTAGTGTTATTTGAATAGATTAATTTAGAGAAACTAATTAAATAGTTGGTATATTTAATAAGAGGGTCTATCATTATCAAAGGGTATTTGTATTTATGAATCTCCTTTTTCTTAGATTTATTTTCTTTTTCTTGCAGATATTTTTTTTATGTATCTTTCTTCGTGGATTCTAGTTTGGATTTTAAGTTCTCCTTATTAATAAAAAAAAAATTGTGAGTTATTTAACTGTGTGATTATTTTATTATCTCAAATTTAAATCTTAAATACTCGTTAAATATTTAAAAGAAAAGATTTGTCACTTGAGCAATCTACCAAACTTAAACGTTTACATTAGAGGATACATGCAGTATAAACAAAAATTAATAATTAGAATTTTTTTTATAAACATTATATAATATATAAAATCTATAATAATATATAAAAGAGATACATCATTTTTATATCTACAAATTTTAAGATGTTTATACTCTTTATTTATTATGATATAATTCTTTTTTTTTAAGTGGATGATAATTCAGTAATTTTATTTAATTAATTTAAATAAATTTATTATTTTCAAAAATAATCTACAACATAATATTTTGTAACTTTCATATCCTACAATATTAATAAGATATAAAATACATTTTTTTCACTAATCTATACTAATATATAAAGGAGATACCTTTTTTGCTAACTACTTTAGTCTCCACTTTTTTTAACCATTATATCCTTTTAATTTAAAAATTAGAAAAAAATATTTTTTAATTAAATTTAAAAACTTTAAACTAATAAATTTATACTAATATATAAAAGGATACTACTTTCAATAACTATTTTTTTTATATTTTTATATTGACCATTTTATCCTTTATTTATTTATCAATAACTATTTTTCTTATGAATAACATCTCATTTTTATTTTCTTTTTATTTATTTATTTTTTAAAATATAATGAGGCAGAAAGTGTATTTTTCTGGCTAGTTTAACATAATTGCCTCTCGTTTGCTTTTCTTAACCGTCCGACAACTTTGGCCTGTAAAGTCTACGAACAAATAGTGATTTAATGCTATCAATCGTTTACTTAGATTATTTTGTTGAAAATTCATGTGTGCAATCACCGTAAAACCTACAAGTTGACGAAGACTTTATACAACTAAACATGTGAGGAATTTTCTGGCATTGTGTTTGGCTTGTTCTTAATTCAGAAATTATTTTTTTTAATTTTATAAGTTAATATATTGAATTAAAAGGGACTAGTAAAATTATTTTAATTAATTAATTAATATAAAATAATATAAAAGGAATATAATTATTTAACACGGCTTAGTATTTAGGTGATTTCGTTACGTGTGGTTAACTAAATAAAGTTCTATTTATTGCAATGGAAAGTAGATATTTGATATAACAGTTTAGACTTAAAAATTACGTA